CCTTTCCCAAGTGTATTATAGCACGTAAGTGAATATAATAGATTCGACTGGAATTCGAAATGGATTCTCCGATTCCTCAAACCAAGCCGTTATCCATTACTCCACCATCATACACACACACACACACACACACACACACACACACACCTATATATATATATATATATATATATATATATATATATATATATATATATATATATATATATATATATATATTATATATTCTATGGATTTTTATCTGTATCTTTTTTAATCTATCAATCTATATACATACAAATATAGATAAGTATACTCGTTTCTGAAAAACCCACGAATTTTTCATTTGCCAATAATCAAATCAATCTCGAAAAAAAAAAAAGGTTTTAAAAAAAGAAAGAGCTACAAACATGAAAGTCTGTGAAAAAAAGAAAACCGATGCAGGTTTGAAGCCCAAAAGAAAAACCCTGATACGAGTAAACAACTAACAAAAAAAATCTATATATCTATATATCTATATATATATATATATATATATATATATATATATATATATATATATATATATATGTGTGTGTGTGTGTGTGTGCGTGCGTTTATTTGTGTGTGTGCTTGTGTGCTTTTATTTTCACTTAGATTATTTATTCTTAATATTGCGTGTCATGGCAAAATATCATGACATGCGTTGACTATGTAATTTGAATTCGTCATGATTTAAATTTAAGCTCACCGTGAACTGACGTCCAGGTTTTCGACTAGCAAATTAAAGGGAATCAAAAGTTATATATCTACTTTTTTTGTTAATTATGATATGAATCACGTTATAAGAGAAAAATGAAGTTAACACTTGGAAAGATCAAAGTTCAAATGTTGTTCAAAAAACCTTATGACAACAAAATTGTTCAGGTTTTTCCGTCATTTGCCCTTTGTTTCCCGCCGCTTTTCTCTTCATTTTCTTCCAGCTATTTTACTTAACCTATAACTTTATGAAATACTTCTTCCCTCCACATTTTTCTTATGTTACTTTCTTGTTGGAAACGAATTGATAAGTTATTAAAGGATATACTCTCTTTCTCCCTCTGTGTGTGTCTGTGTATGTGCGCGCGTGTGTCTGTGTTTTTTAACAAATTGCACACGGATTAAATGTCTAACGAAAAGGATTTTCTTTTTTTCGAGACCAGAAATGTTGTAATCCAAAACAGAAGTACCAATATACGACTATACTCCTGCCAATGGCGCGTGAGAAGAGGGATACTCGTTGACTACTTGACTTCAGGCTTTAGGAGAGCAGCTACCACTCTTCCAATCTATTGAAGCTAAGCCCTCGACCGGCTTGATTCAGGAGGAACGGTGGAATTATGGATAACGGCCTGGATTGAAGAATGGGAGATTCGAGTTTGAGTTTCTTTCGAGTTCATTACATTGACTTACGTGCTAATACTCTTGGAAATGTCTGAAACCATCTCTTCAATTCTCAGTTATGGGGTAAATAGTAGGATAGACTAGGATCTTTAGGAATTAAAATTGGGAACTAACCTAGAAAAGGAAAATTCTAAATTAAAAATCCCGAAAAGAGCCTTGACTTTAGTTAGTCTATCATTGCCAGACAAACTAGAACTTTACTATGATTTGGTAGTATATATACTGCGATTACGACCTTAAGTGTTTAGAGGAATTTTGGTTCTAATGTGACTACATGGAATTTCTCTCATCTTTATCCTTTTGCTCTCTCTCTCTCTCTCTCTCTTTTTTTGCTCTCTTTTTTCTCTCTCTTTTGATATTTCTCTCTCTCTCTTTTGCTCTCTTTTTGTCTCTCTCTTTGCTCTCTCTCTTTTTTGCTCTTTTTTTTCTCTCTCTTTTTGATATCTTTTCTCTCTTTTGCTCTCTCTCTCTCTCTCTCTCTTTTGCTCTCTTTTGTCTCTCTCTTTTTGACATCTTTTCTCTCTCTCTCTCTCTTTTTGCTCTCTTTTTGTCTCTTTTGCTCTCTTTTTGTCTCTCTCTTTTGATATCTTTCTCTCTCTCTCTCTCTTTCTCTCTTTGCTCTCTTTTTGTCTCTCTCTTTTGATATTTTCTTTCTCTCTCTCTCTCTTTTCTCTCTTTTTGTCTCTCTTTTGATATCTTTTCTCTCTGAATCTCTCTCTCTCTCTTCATTCTCTCATTCTCCTTTTCGTTTAAATTTTTCGTTCTTTTTTCTTCTGCATTTCTATTTTTACTTTTTTTTTTTTTTTTCTTTTTACCTTTTTTCTCCCTTCAAATTTTCTCCATATTCCCTGTTGATTTTCCTTCTTATTCTTTTCTCTACTTCTTTCACTTCCTTCCTCTGACCCCACTTTCTCTCAAATTTTCTTTTTCTTTTTTTTTTTTCCATGTTTCTCTTTGAATCTTCTTCCTTCAGACCTCCTTCTCATCTGACCGTTTATGTCTTCCTTTTCTATTTTTCGTTCATCCTCTATTTGCTCTCATTTCTGTTTCAAATTCCTCTTTATTTGTCTCTCTCTTTTTTACTTTCATACCGTTTTCTACCCCTTTTCTTTCTCCCAATTTTATGTCCTTTTTTTCTCCTTTCTTCATTTCATTATCTTCACTTACATAATACAAATAACCATCCCTCTTTTTCATCTTGTATTTCAATCTCTCCCCATTAACTGTTTTTTCTCTTCTTCTTCTTCTTCTCTATCTTCTTTTTTTCTCCTCTTTCATTCCTTTCTTTTCCCTTCCTTTTTTTTTCTGTTTTTGCCCTTTGTTTTTTTATTTCTATCTGTGCCATTCTTTCTTTTTCTTTTCGACTGTCCTCTCTCCTCTCCTTCTCCCTAATTCTTAGTTCTATAAATCTATTTACTATTTTTCATTGTTTTCAACTAATTTCTCTTATAATTTGATGACTATTTTCCTTCTAGCCCCCCCCATATTTTATGTTCTTTTTCTACTTTCTTATCTTCTTCCTTTTTCTTTCTCGTTTTCAGACATTCTCGGCTTGAAATTATTCTAATCCTGTTCTTTCTAGATCTTAATTCTATTATTCCGGTTTTTATTCTTTTTCTCCTACTCAGATTTCAATTCCATATAAAGTAACTATGTTATTCTTATTCATTTAAAATTGCTATTCTTAACATTTCAATCTTATTCTTCCATTCGCCGTTTTTCCTTTTAATTATTTTCTCTTTGTCGTTCTTATTAAATGCAACGAATAATTAAAAGATTTTAATAAAAATGGAAGATGGCATGTAAAAAAGATGCATGGTTCTAGGGAACATTTTTTCGAAACATAATTAGAATTATATTATTTTTTTTTACAGATTAAGCAATGTCAACTATTATCAATTCTTAACCAGTGATTTTTGGCCATTTTAATTCTACCGCGTTTCATTGCAACTACACTTCAGGCTGATTGTCTTGTAGTTACGATGAAATTAGATTAAACATCAAAGTGATCATAGTACAAATCATAGCGTACATTTCTTTCATCAGTATAAATTAGTTACCATGATGAATCAGATATTTCAGGTAATACATCATTTGCCCTACGTATCTCTTGAAAATTACAATACATGAAAGGATTTACCTTGACACTTGCCTCTCAGTATATATAAAGATTCTCAAACTGCAAAATGATTGATGGTTGGAAAAGGTCAAATAGATAAGACAATAACTGTATTTAGTGCTGAAAAGTCTTTGTTAATTTATTATAAATATTTGAAAATATTATGACTAAGAATCTCAAATGTCAGCTCATCGAACTTCAAGAATATATCACTTGAAAGACATAAACGCCTTGAAACTCCTTTCAAATGACACCTGCCTGTTTAATTCCAATTGCAGACACCTGTTATTAACATTTATCTTTGTTCAACTTGTTCTTTATACTCCAACTATGTGGAACGGATCTTAGATATAGACTCTTGTGGAAATTAATAGAAACAACCGCTTTATTTTTTTTTCCTTCGCCATACGATCAGTTTTAGACCCTTTGGAGTTACAGGATATAATCGAATTGTATTTTTTCCTCAGGCTAGGCCATTTACAGTAGTGCACTGTAATATGAATCTATTTTCGAGGTGTATGATGAAATTTGTTTGGACTTGAAAATATTGCATCATCCATGACTGCATCCGATGTTCATCACACCCAGACACTATTGTCTCGACTGTCGATTAGTTATCCTACAACCTTCTGCCTGCGATGGGCGTTAATTGTAACGCTGCGCGAATACACTGGCAAGCCTTACTAGTGAGCAAATCAAAGTACTATAGACTGACCCGGAAACTCCAATTGTCAATATGTGCTCAATCTGCAAGGAACGAGTTCGTGGAATGTACATACGAAATACTAACATGGTCATGTTTCATTGGAAAAAATACGAAAAAAGTAAATAATAACGGAATTATTCGTTTTATTCCAATTAATTTTCACAAAGTTGTAGATTCTGAAAGAGTGTCTATAATCTTGTGTGATCGATAGCTTAACAAGGCCAGTATGCTCAAAACATTGATTGAATTTGATTCCTATATGGGATTACAAAATAGTAATCACATTAGTATAATAATGTATCAGTTGACCGAAAATATCAAGAGGGAAATGGGGGAACAAAATGTCTTTCAATATTCATTACATCCCAAAACTAAACGAGTAATGTTTGATCATCGAAAAGAAAATGAATTTTCACCTATTATGATAAACGTTTTCACTCTGAAAGAGGCTCCATGCTTTGAACGCTTATTAGAACCTCAAGTTGTACTTATATATACGATATATCGCTAAAGCTGAACTTAAAATGGTTGGTTACTTGTATCTATCCAGAAATTCTGACTCCTGCCATGTTCTACATGACAAGACTCAGATCAGATCGGTACTTCCATATTTTTGCTGGAGATGCCCAATCATCACTTTCCAGCCTTGAAAGAGTTCAAAAGCATCAACACGGCCTTCCTTGCCGTTGATAAATTATTTTCCAACCTTCAACTTCTCTCTCGCAGAAGATACTTCGCTATCCCCTCGTTACATTATAGCTACTTCCATGGTTAATGTTAGCCGAGCTACGTTCAATAGTTCCACCATTTCTAACCTTCACTACTAAGACCCATTATGCCAAGTACAACAGGAACCATCATACATATTCCATTCGTAGCAGAAAAGATGTTCCAATCGGACAAGAACTATTCGTGAAACAAACTTTCAAGAGGATGATTCCCTGTTTGCGACAAGCCTCTTCAAGTCTAAAGTTAAAATGTATCTTTCCTGCCTATCCTCATAATCTCCAATACTTACTGTCTCTTACGCTCATAGAAAAAAATCTTATTCATTAAAACATTACATTCAATGTTTTCTTGGCTTTGCATTGTTTGAATAATTAGTAAAAATAAATCTGTTTTCCATAAAGTTTTTCTATATTCTTTTTATTATTACTCCTAACATGGAATGTTAAATTATTTATATCATTACACTTAATATTAATATTAATATTAATAATAATAATAATAATAATAATAGCAACAACAACAATAATAATTTTTATTTGTTAAAAACGTTTCGTTAAAAAACATCATCTTCTCGCAAATAAACCTTATATCCAAATGAAGAAAAATGCCGATGTTTCATTAAGAGGGATTATATATAAGGGTGTTTCATTAAGAGTAAATAAATCAGTGTTATTGGTGAAAATTTATTTATTTCTCTATTGGATCATGTTATTTTAGTCATGGCAACTATGTGTGAAAAATAGTACCGCCCAAATGTCCGCCAAATCTGAAAGAAAAAGAAAAAAATCATTAGACGCTTAAACTTATTTCACATTAAAATCGGTCCAAGTTAATGGAACACACTTTACTAGTGTCATTCTTTACAGTTTAATAAATTGAATTTATTTTTCCGAATTATTTATAAATTCAGTCAAACAATATATTTGCATGAATTATTTATAAATAAAATGCATTGTGAAATAATGGATATTTACTCGAATCGAGAAATCGGAGAAATTGAATTCAAGTCGTGATCGCTAGGTTTACTTGCGAGTAAATACCGAATAATCCATCTGTCTTCCCCCTACCTATGGGTTGAATAGCAGAAGCTGGTGTATAAAGAGTGAAACGACAAATTACTGCGGGAAAATCTTCTGTCTATTCAGTTTTGACTTGAAAGCGAAACGATCTCCCATTCACGTATGACACATAAGTAAATGAGTAAATGATTGATATTCTCATACAGCATTCTTTATAGCGACTCCAACAAAAGGTATATGAGGTTAGTGTAACGGTTATTGCATCGGAAAATGGAACTGGTGGTCACAGTTCATGTGTCATACTAGTTTGTTACATTCACTTTCGTATGAATAACAAGGTAGACTAATTTTGCGTGGCAGAAAGTTTAAGAAAACTCTAAATCCCAAACCCAGAAAAATACTACGTGAAATTACTCCCCTATTTATCTTAATAACTCATAACAATTCATAGACATTAAAAAGAAAAGCGACACAATCTTCCTACACCTTGTGACGTTGTGCAAGACGCGATACTTTTTTAAGCGAGTTAACCACACGCAAGGTAATAAAGTCACTAAGGCAGAAAGGGTTACTGAGTGTGGAATGATTATAAATCAAAAACATTACTGATGTGCGAGAAAAAAAAAAAGGAAATGCAGTAAATTAAAGTTGCATTTAAATCTTTGGAGATTAAAGTTAGATGAAAAATATGTAACCGGAAGAGAGTTCCAGAGCAGAAAGTGGGTAAAACTGACGAGAAAAGACTGAGGAACGCCGGGTTGTCAATATATTTTAATTTTCTTTCTGGCAGAGTTTAAAACTGTAGCGGCAAATACGTATAAAAGGTCATTTTGAAAAAGTTGTTATATATGCGATGGATATAAGATAAGCTCCTATCTTCAAATATATTGCTGCTACATTCAGATCGATGAGAACATAATACTCTGGGATGGTATGTTTTCTACAACAGCCGCATATTGAGAGATGAAAACAATGTCAGGCAGACATTCTATTCGCAGCATCAATGATAAATATGTCATTTTATAAATCCTTGTCAGTTTCAGAGATTATAAAGGGAATATATATATATATGACGCAGAATTGGAGGCTGAAGATAGTTATAGAAAGTTTGAAATTATGACTTTCAGAATTTTCTAGCGCGAAATTTGGAATACTTATTCAAAGAAAAATACTCTACGACTGCCTATTAGTTCTAGGATGACAGAATTAATTGTTATCAGCAAAAGTGATACCAAAAATCGGTAGCTACGTAATGGTCATATTAAAGTTAATTAAGGGCAGACATTTAAGGGGGTTCTATAAGAGACAACGGTAACACAGAAATCCAAATGTGAATGAGACTATCTAAAACGTACCTTTCTGAAATTAAAAAATAATAAGAAGCACGAAAATATCTTCAGAAACAAAGAAAAGGGCGGTAAATTACCAACTAGTATTCAATTTTTCGTATAGAGAGACGAGTTTTAGACAATTTTCGCAGATAAAGAGGCCTGAATCCGTGAACGCTATGGTTCCGCCGACAATTGCTGGGAATATCATGAACGGGACATGTGAGTAAGGAGGGTGTAATCACAAAGAAAATGCTTCTAGCAATTAGAAAGTGATAGATGTAAGTTTAAGGACATATACTAAGGAGTTAAGGCTTGGAGAATGGAAAACTCCCATGTATAATTACATGGACAACAAGATCAAAAAGATATATTACGGACATAAGCATTACTTTGATGGATAATAATATAAAATTATGGATACTTATTTTCGCCCACCTTCTGAAAGGATGTTGATTATAAAATAAATTTCAAATTTGCTGTAACGTTCCGAAAGCAAGAGGTAATAATCTCTGATAATATACTTTTTTCTATTTTTTTTAAATACAATTGTGTTTATTAATAACCCAAAATAACCGGTACTATTTAGCTATATTATTTGTTTAACTGATGAGTGAATGTTCTGAACAGATATGTATTGAATACCCGAAGGATTTTCCTACACCAATAAACATGTCTTTATAGTGATGATTAAATGTTTTAATCAATATTATTATTGACTCTTTGTTCACTACCAACAATTTAAAATATTCCATGTCGGAAAGATAACAGACCTTTGGTGAGTTGATTCCTGTAAAGAGACATATTTAAAATTCCTCAAGGTTATATTTTTCGTATCAGGGATGTGGTTGTAGTTCAACGGTTATTGGCACCGAAATTTGCTTCGGTAAGCAATGAATAAATTCCAGCCTGGTCAGTTGTGTTCACTTCGCACTAATAGCCTTATCTTTTCTCTCTTGCTCATCTAGCGATTTTAGCTAGCGATATGAGTAATTTGGTTTCGGGTTATAGCCAAAGTAGAAAAATGTCTACTCTGAATTTCAAACCCTGGCGAAGAAAAACAGGAGACGACCCCACTACTTTTTCCTCCTTTGTGTCGCGACCCTTTAAAAGATAGCCGGACATGACTCTTCACAGTTTCCTGCTTTTTGTAGCTCTTACTAAATTTGTATTTTTGACTTCCCTCATAATCCTTGTTGTGTTAAACACACACACGCAAATATATTCAGTAGCTAATGCGCTATTTTCCTATATCTTGTTAGTTTCATATTTTCGAATTTCTTTCTTTATTATGCGAACTAAAAACTCGAACTGTCTCTCTCTAATGGTAAATATATGTTTCCCTTTATTCTATTTTATCTAAAACTTCGTTTCTCCCATGCTAAGTCTATCGTATTTTTAGCATCCTTCTGTTGAAACATGTTTCTGTTGCTTCAAGTATCTTCTTCATGTGTGCTGCGATTGTCCAGCCTTTACTCGCATACTGGAGGACCATATTATATAAGAGTTCTGTGTTCTTTTCTTTCTTCCTAAAGTTTCATGTTTCTAATTTTCATGTTTCTTAATAATTTGCTTAGCTTTTGAAGGCACCTTTCGCTATTCAATGCGCCAATTCTGTTTTTTTGTTGTTTTTTTTTTTTTTGCAGCCGATACAGCAGTTCGTACACATAACGAGAATAACATGCTCTGTGTAAATATGTTCTATGTCTTAACATCACATGGCGTGGAAGACACAATCGTGATAACAAATATCAATTTAGGCAATGAAACTCTGAAAAAACATCTATTTGGCATTTACTGTACAAATGCATCGCCATTGTTTGTCATATTCATGAAGGTAAACATGGCAAGAGTGTTAGACATCTCTGTATTGTCCATTCTTATATATGACACAAAAGTGCAAAATTTTGTCGGAAATCAGATTTGAGGTAGTGTGGATTACATGGTAGTTTAGCAAAAACGTTTTAAGGAAAATCTTTGGTAAGCAAAGTACATTTTGAACTTGGGTGGTCATGACTCTTCACAGCTTCCTGTCTCTTGTAGCGCTAAACAACGTTTGAATATTGCTCTCCGTTCTTCTCTGCCCCTCCTAACGTTAATATCTTACGTATATTACATTCGTCCATTTCTCTTTCCTCATTAATTTCAAGTGTCTCTTTCTAGTATTAAAAAAAAATTCGTTTTTTAATAACTTTTCGTTTTCTACATGTTCAGGTCATGGATCCCTAAGTTCTGACACACACACACACACACACATACACATACACACACATATATATATATATATATATATATATATATATATATATATATATATATATATATATAAATATATATATATATAATTTGTTTCAAATTAAACCTTTGCTTATCCTAATACTTTTTTTTTGTTTCTGGAAAGCACCTTCCAACATTTCAAAGCGCCTTCAGGATTCTTTGTCACATTTTTAATTGTCTATTATGACACGATCCAGGTTGTTGAATTTCTCTACCTGCTTCATTCAGAGGATCATTACTAGTCAGCTCACATCTCGCAGACGAGTCACTGTTATATTAAATGTTTTCCTCTAGCTTTTCCTTTTCGATTTGAAGGATTTCTTTCTCCATTCAATTGTTTATCATATGCTAGTAGGTCTTCTGTTTTTCTGGGGATCATCTCTCTGGATACGTTAAGTAAATCCTGGAAGAACACTCATTCATGTCTTAATCCATTTCCTATTATTACGTACTTACACAAATAATTTTCTTTACGCGTGAAGGTGATTTAGTCACATTATATTTTAAAGAATAATCGAATATTTTCCTGTCTAAATCATTATTTTTTATGCTAGTTCTTTTAGTTTATTGTACTTTACTTTAGCAAATACCATTGTGCAAAGTATGAAACATGTTAAAAAATTTCTGCATTTGTATTGCTCGGTTTGACAACATTCTGATACCTCCAAGAGCATTTCTTCTTCCAGCGTTTTAAACGAGGACAACATTTTCCTATCTTATTTCTAGTCTAATTCGGTTAGAATTATTTTTCTTGGTATCCAATTATGTGCCTCAACAAGCACATTTGCACCTTGCTTCTTTTGGATAGGAAGATTGATAAACTGAGTTCTTTTGGTATTTAGCAAATGTATATCATTTATTATTTAGGTAAACATATCCATCAAAGAAATTGATAAAGGATGATAATATTTCAATTAAATTCTTATCTGGACCTGATTTTTTGGTCATCTTGTCTTATGTCGATCTTTACTTCAGATTTTAATATTACACGTGCTGTCTTGTTTTTCATGTACTTTAGTGTTCTCTCCTTTGTTGTTGTGGAACCGAACTTCGACGCACTTATTTCATCTTTGCGGTAAAATTTCTTATTCTCCGATGAGCAATTCCATTGAATATTTTTCTCCGTCCTCTTGAGAAGCATGTGCTTTATCCTCTGTTATGTGTCTTATCATTTTATTGAAACCTATGTCCTTATTCTCAATTTTTTTTACAATCACATCAGTCTTCTCGTTGCTTGCCTCCATTACTTTATAATTTTCACTGAACATCGTCAATTGTATACTATTCCTTGAAATTATTTACTGTTCCCTTTTCATCAGCTCATGAATTTCATCTGTCATCCACTTCTTTTGTTTAGTCTCTCTTTCCTTGCGATGATCACGTTTTCCGTTGTCAATAGAGCTTATCTTAAAGCGTTCCAGTTCCAATGTCTGAAATTGTCTATGATCTGGTATTCTATGTTAACAGCATAAAAATTGAATCTTTCTGGATGTTTTATTACCTGGGTATTACCTTTAATTTAATCTTTGAGTTTTCCATCTCTCAGAGTCGCTACCGCAGAACTATATTTATGATGTATTTTTTTGTTGTAGTTTCGTAGTTAGCCTGTTCACAGTCTTCTCTCCCTGATATTTCCATGTCCATAAGCGTATTGTCTGTCGTTGAAACGAGATGTTGGTTATTAATTGCTCACTCGCTGTGCACGAATGAACGCATGTTTTCCCGTGTTCCATTCTTGATTAACTTCATGCATACCAATGGTTTTATTGTTACATTCCTACCATTAATTCGTATTTAGTCTGCGAATAATGAAATAAATTCTTGTGATCCAAGTTGCCATAAATCCTATCTAATTCTTTTTTCGAGCTTTTTAGTGAGAGCAAATATAGTACTATCATATTTTATTAAAAGGTTTCCTTTTCAGTTTCACTTAAGTAATTCTGGTTGACAGCTGCCAGTATGTGAAAACACATTTCTTTATGTCATGATATTATATCTACTCATCTTTCTTTTTTTTCCCGACTGCATATCTGATTCTGTGACGTCTCTTATGGAGTCCGCATTATTTCTCCACCTGGTTTTCACGATACTCTAAGGGGAAAAGTAAACTAAAATAATTTTTTATTGACAATGAAAACGAGAAATAATAAATGTTAGATCATACGGTGAGGAAAGAAATTTAATTGAAGTAGCCATTAACTTGTTAAAACAAAGGCAAGGCGGAAAGGAAAAATAATATATGATTGTTTTACAGGTTTCTTCAAGTAGATGACAAATACTGCAATATTTCATAAAGAGGAATGTAATGTGGGAAACAAGAAAAGCTACGGAGCCATGATCAACAATGTCCAGAAGTGGCTTCGAAATGTTACAAAAATAAACAAATTTACATTTTTTAGAGATAAAAATATATCATTGATGGATTTATCCACAGTGCCTCAATTTAAAAGTGATTAAATAATGTTGCGTTCTACTGATGAATAGAAAAGTTCCCTAAAGAAAAATGATGGGATTTAAAAAGTACTATGCAATGGATGGTGATTTTCTAAGCGTTGCTTAAATGTGGCACAAGGACAAAAGTATGGGGTATCCAAAAAAGATCGAACGCACAATTCATCCGTAATTGATCTTGCGAGACAAGCTTACGAAGTATCCAAAATTATTTTCTAAGTGTAGTTTAGATGAGGTACAAGGCCTAAAATAGTCACTGAGGATCGAACGAGACAAGCTTGCTAACCATTACACCACGTTGAAGTGGTCATACTATGAAATGAATGAACAAAATTGATTAAAAGCAAAATACATTTTTACATTATTTTTGCATTATTATTTCATAATGTTTTTAATTACTTTTTCGTTTATTAACAATTTTCCTTGTACAGTATTTTTATATACACATATATTATTATTATTATTATTATTATTATTATTATTATTATTATTATTACTATTTTCACCTCACCTCGCTGCATTAATTCAATACAAAAATAGATATTTTAATTTAATTGATGCAATTAATTTATTAAAGTTGTCAAACTATTTCTTGCTTTGAACTTTACACTGTGAAAGAAAAATAAGACAAATGCTACAAAAATCAATATAAATTCAATTCCACGTTTTCATCAGGAAACTTCATCAATAATTAAGACAATTCCAACGATACAAACTCTTTGCCTACCTTCACAACACAATCACGAGATCTGTGGCGTATAGCGCAATTCTGTCGGCTTTGGGTAGGAATGACAACGCAACTTTAGTTTCACGCTTTCAAACAGGCAAATTCATTTATCTGCCTATTATAAAGAACATCATATATATATATATATATATATATATATATATATATATATATATATATATATATAAGTCCACGTGTGCTTCATATAGTTTATAAAATAGAGTAGATAAGTTGGTTAATAAAAGAAAGACAAACGAAACGTGCTGATGTGATCAGTACGAAAAACATTTATTAATTATTAACCACATGATAGAAATGAAGCACAGAGATTTGGGTTCCAAGTTCGGAATTTTCGAACACCCCTGCGTCCTCTTTAGCGGATGCGAGAAATAAACAGAGAGACGTTTGAGACTCTCCAACAGTAGTTCTTGAGTGTGGGGGATCCTGTTTGTAGATGGAATTACTAGTAAAATCCGATCTCTGTCTGGTCATCATTGCGCGAAACTTTTTGTGAAAATAACTTTAGATTCAAAATTGGTAATGATAATATATATATATATATATATATATATATATATATATATATATATATATATATATATATATATATAGCTTCATTAAATTTGACAGACAAGGTCCTTTGCTATATAATTTCAATTATGATCTTATAATTCTTTTCTTTTCTGTAGATAAATTATACAAAAACTGTCCAAATTTTTTTTCAAGCGCTTTCGACTGTACAATTAGACATTATCAAGCAGGGATTGTATTTACTGTTAACTGGAAATGACTTGTTGTATGTATGTATTTAGCATTATAGAATGGTTTCTTTTCAAATCACAGTCAATATATTGTTTTGTATAATCTATCTACGGAAAAGAAAAAAAGTCATAATTTTAGTTTTTCATCTATATTGATTCTTTTGCTCGTACATCCTTCTTTCTTTTCATTCCTATTTTTTCTTTCATTTTCTTATTTCAACCATTTCATTCTTCATTTTATCTTCTTATTTTCATTTTATTTATTTAATTGTTTTAATTTTTCCTTTCTGTTTTTTTCTTTCAGGTTTTCCTTATTTCATTTGTTCTTTCTTTTTCCAGTTTCTTTAGCTTATTTTTAGTCATTCTTCTCATTTTTCGTATATATCTCCTTTCACATTCTATTTCCTTCTCTCCATTCTGTCTTTTTTTTTTTTTTTTTTTTTTATTTTTTTAATTTTATTCTTGTTATACTCATTTTTAACGTCATAATTATTTTTTCATTCATTTTCTCATTTCAATCGATTTTTCTATTATATTCTTTTCAATGTTTATTTTAGTTTATTCATTCTGATTTTCCATATTTTTGTCTTATTCTTTTTCAGTCTTTTTTCTCTTTCTTTATTTATGTATTTTCACCATCTTTTTTTTTCCTTTTTTTCCGGTTTGTATTTCCTTCACTGTATCCATCATTTTTTCTTTCATTTTAGTTTCTTCTTCACATACTTCCTGCTTTCTTTTTTACTATTCTTCCTATTTTCATTCTCGTCCTCTTTTCATTTTTCTCTTCTTTCTTTTTAACATCGTATATTCATTCTGCTTCTCCTTTCGTTTCTTTCTTTCAATTGTTTTCTTTCTTTCTCTTTTGTTGCCTTTTTCGTCTTATTCCCCATTTTCCACTTCAAATCTAGACATCATCTTCACCGCTTTTACTTTCAGTGCCATAACCATTATTTGAATAGTTTCATTTTTGAGAATATAATTTTTTTTTCTTAATTTTTCCCTTGTAAAGGAAATATTCAGATGAAATGACGAAGCACTTAAAAAGCTATCAACGGCAACTCAATTGATCTCGGACGAATATCGGTGTCAGATTTCGATCAATACAAAAAGTAATATCGATTAACTTTATCAGACAGGAAGTACTCATGTTCTCACACAGAATCACGTGATAAATATATACTAAGTTTAGACTACAATGTTACGTATACACCGAGATACGCAATCAAAAAAAAAATGTGTCCGTATAAAACATGAATATGCCCTCAAAACAAACGTACAAACACCTTCAGGAATGTATTAGGTTAGAAATGTATTAACATCCATAGGTTGCTTTGAAAGCATTTACCGACCTAAATAGTTCAAAATGAAAAAAAGTAATTATTGTTATTTTATATATGCAAACTTTTGAGCGTTCTTCAGCGTCTCTCCGTCACAAAATCGATTAGTTGATATGGAAGGCATGAAATCTGACAGTTGATATTACTGTTAGCGCTTAGTAATCTCTAGTTCAATTCTCGTTAAAAAGCAATGTATTCTTTTGCCAGTTTTTAACGAAAGATATTCTGAGATTTCAATTTGAAAGTTTAATATTTTAACAATTTTACATTATTCAGACTGTTATCCTTGTCTTTACTGTCATAGTCACAAAACTTCGGACGTTGTACATTCCAGCCTCCTTCACGTGAATTTCGCTCGAACCCTTTATTTGACTCACTAGTTCCATGTGAACGTTTAATTATTTTCAAATATTTTATGATGTATAGAAAGTTTTTTTTCAGATTTTTTTAAAACGTTGCCCAAATAAATAATAATCTTTATTTTTCATTCATTTTCATTAACAGATTTACAGACATAGACGATATTATCAATGTTACAGGGATAAGAGGCATTACCATAATCACAAACATTGTGGACATTAACATAGTTGCAAGTATGTTTATAGTTTACTGTATATTTTGTTATAAATTCTCTTTGTCTTCCCATTAGCGATATTTTCAAAAATTATTAATTCAGAGCGAATGATCGTATTCATTTAGCAGTTAACATTCTAACTTATTTCTATATCTTTTGTTTTCAGCATTTCGCTCCTAGAAAGACAACAGATCCACTAAGACACAAAAGGTTAATGAATATGACAGAAGATGAGAAAAACGAAAACCTTATTAAGAGAGTTTAATAAAAGAATAATAATTCAGAAGACAGAAAATAAGGATTCATATTTGTTAAGATTATTTCCAGTTGGGGAAACACAAAGGGATGTGGATTCATGCCTTTCATTATTATATTAAAGTAAGCATAAACAATGTCAACAATATTTGATTTTGGTTTGTCGACGCCATTTTCCATGCTGATAAACATGACGCCGTGTCTCAACACTCGCTATCAAACACTGGGAGTCACTGGTTTGGTCGATACGTTAGAATTTCCATTGTGCTTTAAAATGTTTGCGATGAATAATATTTTAACGTTAAACATTTTATTTGTATTGCTTCTTTGGAAAACTCTACATGGATAAATACTTTCCATCGATATAGTGTTCCTCGAAGCGATTCCTAAAAGACAACTGCGAACACTTTAGATTGCATAAGTCAAATGATGAAGTAATCAAAATAATTCCCTTTATTGATATTGTTCCAATTCTCTCTTCTTCACTTGTTTTTTTCTAGTTGACATGTAAACATTTCGCCGTTTCATTTTTTAATGTAAAAAGGCAGGGTTAGAATCTCGGTAAGCAGATATACAGTGCTGTTCGATAAAAGTGACTCACCTGATTTTTTTTTTTTACTAAATGTTCTGATCTCCGATAAAACAAAAGTTGAGCAAAATTCAAAGGAAAAGCGATCTAAAATCCGAAGAAGAAGCTTTGAAAGCTCTTTGAAGTTAGCAGTAAGTACTGTCAAGCATCCGTTCAGTATAATGTTCTGGGGATTCCTTTCTTTTCATTGAACTGGTTTCTTAAAACCTATTGAAAAGACCCTCAGGAGCGAGCAGTACGAGAGACTTTTAGAGTATTGTCTGCTCCCTTCTGCTGAAAGGGTGCAAATCGGCCCCATCAAGCTCATTTTTATGCAGGATAATGTTCCCTGTCACAAATAAAAATCGATGAAGGAATACTTTGATGAGAAGCAGGTGAGTGTTATGACATGGTCGCCCCAATCTGCTGACCTCAAACATATAGAAATCTTATGGAGCATTATAAAGTACAGGCTCTCGAGAAAGCAGTTGAGCAACATGCTCCATAAGTTTTCTATGGGGTTGAGGTCAGGAGATTGGGGCGCCCATGCCATAGTTTCTTCTTCGGATTTTAGATCGCTTATCCTTTGAATTTAGCTCAACTTTCGTTTCAGCGGAGAAGAGAACATTTAGTAAAAAAATCAGGTGCGTCACTTTTTATCGAACAGCACTGTAACTTCTAATTTTGTTCATATTCGAACTACTTGTTTCCATTTGTATAAATACAGTTAAAATTAACCTTTATTAACTGTAATTCTAATTATGCGTGTAGTAGTGCAACAAAAATATTCCCACCACATATATGTTGTTTTCTTTCACTGCCAAATGACGTTTAACAGGAGTGATGTAATTCACCTGTCATTTTTCCATATTGTTTGCAAGATGTATGACAGAAATGCAGTAGAAATTCTATTACTGGATTTTATTTAAAATTTTCCGTTTCCTAGACGGGTAGGCAAACGAGACTAGAGAATTTTCTTTGTCACTTATCCTTAGTTGTAGGGAAGAAATAGTTTTATGCCTTTTCAAAGTAGTCTTGATTGGAATCACAGGGTTTCCACGGGGATTGTAAGGAAACAATATCCATTCATAAACTCTTTATTTTTATTTTTAATATCATCATCATCATCATCATCTTCTGGCATTCTGCATGATTTTTTGATTCAATCGGAGAGCATTCAAGTATTTTTTAAAAAAATTTTCTCAATGCAGGTCTTTGTTTGATTTTTAGTGTCTACTCATTTCTTTCCATATCCCGACCTGAGACCTAAGGTCAGAAATGGCATCAGGACATTTTTCACTGAGCAAATTAAAAAAAAATCACGCATATTGTACATAGATAAAGCCCTTCGTAAGGTACGAAGTGTACTCGTGAGAACAATTATTTTGTATTTATTTAAGGCATGGCTGCCAGGAATCCAATCAATGAGTCTATTGAAATCTTTTCCAATCAATCCGAGGGCTCCAACTACAACTGGAATTTTTGATGTTCCCATGTTCCACATTTTTGAGATTTCGATTTCAATGTCCTTGTATTTGTTATTTTTTTTAATTTCTTCAAATATACATTGCAGTCTGTGACCTTTAATTTGGTAGTGGCCATTGCGACTTAAAACTTATTACAATCATTACATTTTTCCTATCCCTATGTTACCTGCGTGAATGCAGGTACAATATGATGAACTCTCGAACCCTGGATATCGGAATATGCTCATCCTATTTCATGAGTAGAAAGAGCTCTTTAGCCTTGGTCTTGATCAAAATTAATCCTTAGCGTTCTAGGATAAAACGCAAAAACAAAAGGAAATCAACAATCTCATTGCTTAGAAACAACTAATCATACCAGATCAGCCGTCACCCGGATCAAGAAGGGCGGAGTCCTTCAGAGAGGAATCAGTCTGGGACCGAAAATTCTCTCACTGGAACAAAGTCTTTCCATAAATGATGAGACACCTGGTTACGATCCCTGGATTATTTCCAAACCTTGGATCAAGTGACTCGATGCCAAATCAATGAATAAGAAGAAAGTGGACGAAATGGACCGACGAAGAGTATGATCATGTCATGATATCCCTTTTCACGGCACTCAGGAATCCACAATAGAAGATCAGGCATACCAAACCAGTCTGCAGGTATTA